GAAAAAGAACTTTTTTTTTTTAAACGTTTGCGACGATGTCATTCATGACAGCCACGATAGTTGATATCTTTATATAATTATATTAAATATATATATATATATATATATATATATTTCGATAATACATACACACACATTGTGTATATGTATATAAGATATAAAGTTAAAACTCCATAAAATCTATTTGGAATTAATATTTTTGATTTGTGAATTAAAAGCTGGAAAATTGACAATTTTTTTAAGTTTTATATCTCTGTGATCAGAGAGATATACTAACAAACAGGTCACACAGTTATACGTGTGTCGTGCACGTGATGCTTCGATATGCGATCGCCATGAGAATGTCGGACCGTGGTCACATGTGGCGATCGCGTCGCGGCATGAGAAACTCCCGACATGTATCTTCGGCCGCGTGTTGATACGGGTACACGCAGTTGTGCGCCGATGATTAATAGGAATCGACAGAAGCCGATGCTGCGCGACGTCGACATTGCCCGGTCGAGAAATATCGCCGATAAATTCTCCTTTGAATACGCGTCGTCTTTCTCCCCCTCGTGCGAAAAACGAAATATATCTTCTTCCCTTTCGTCCTTTTTTTTTCCTCACTCGTTAATAACATTTTTTTCATTCCGATCCCCGAAAACGCGCGCTTAATGAACGACTGTGTGGATATAAAGGAATTAGGAGACTGCGAAATGTGTTCTGGTTAGGAATATTACATATCAATTGAACATTATTAATTTGTCGTATTCGCTCGTAATGATCAGCGGATCAGCGTCGATGATAATGCATAAAATAATCAAACTAATATACAATTCTATATTAAATATTATTGGCAACAGTAGAGACGATTTCTCCTTTGAATATAGAGACAAATAATTTTCTCTCCTATTAATATTAATGTTTTCTTATTCTTTCAAGATACAAGTTTTTATATGCAAATAGATTTAAAAAAATTGGGAGTCTGTAAAATACATTATTGTTAAAAATATTACGAATTAATAGATTGTAATATTTACTACACAATGATAAACGATGACAAGCATCAACAGTAATGCATGAATTAATCATCTATTATGATAAATTAAACTTCGCATTTTCATTTTCATTAAACATGAGCAATTATTTGGATTTGATTCTGTCTGTCAAATTGGAAGTATCAAGTATCTTCTCTCGTTAATGACGTTTTTCGAGCCTCGTTGGAAGATGATGCACGCGTAACGAACGATCGACGTGCAACATGCGTGTGTACCAATGAAAGAGTTAGAGGGGTTGGGAAGCGAGCTCTTGTTAGGAACACAATGTGCACATCGTTCGACGGATGAAGCTCGGACGTTATGTGTCAATCGAACGTTATTAATTTGCGGTATTCATTATCCTCGCAGATAGATGGCGATTAGCGTCAACGATAATGGCATGAATTAGTCATGCCGTTATGTCGTATTATGTCGCATTAAACATTGGCCGTGCATTTCCATTGAATGCCAGCGATAGGAGAATCAATAATTTAGATAGGTATTTGCGTGCTTCTCTGGTTCATAATGACAACATAAATGATCTATTAAATTTTTATCGACGATATTAAAAACATTATCTTGATTTACTTTTATCTTTTTTTTTTATATAAAAGTATTTTCTTCATAACGTGTGTACGTAGAAGAGAGAGAAATATATTTATAATTTGATATATTTTAGAAAATATAATATTTAAATAATAATTGTTGAAAAATATTAAATTGTTTGTGATACACTTTATTTAAAATTCTCAACATAAAATATTGTATATATAATAAAATAATTAATTTCCTTTTTACAATTGTGAGAGAAAAAATGTTTATAAAAATGTATGTTAAGTCGTTAATATATAGCATATTTTTGCGAAGCAAAGAAGCTTGATAGAATATTCTTTAACGTCTGATGATTTAATACGGATCGATCGCGATGATTAATTTGGAACTTCGAAGTTCTCGACAGTATTCTCGGCAGGATATACACATGGTTGATGGCGATGCATTCGCCGTCAAAGGTGCGGAAGTGAGGGTCACAAAGAAGTCCCGGAAATCGCCTTCGGCTGAGTAACTCGCGTGTCACGTGTGACGAGCCGTGCGCGTGTATGTACGAGATCCTCCGTATATATGCGTGACATATTGTTTTCGCGGATGCACTGTCGCGAAGGGGAGCTTGTACGGCGCTCGTTTTGCACCTCTCACCCTTGTCTCGTCGTCCGTTTTCGCATTCACCCTCCTTGATCTGCGTGTTCGTAGTTTCACGAGTGGGCGTTATTGTGTTACGACGGGTATATATCGCGGCAGCTTCGCAGACTCCTATGGTGCTCCAGGCCACGGATTTGGGCGCAAACGTTATTATTTTTCGCAATTTGCTAAGCAGATGCTCCCCATTGTGAAGCTGCCGGCGTGGTACGATTGTGTTGCTCTCGCGGGGAGTTTATTTTCCCGGCTCGTCTCTGACAGACGCTCGGCATCGCGATATTTTGCCTTTGCTCGCGTGACGAAATAAATTTTTTTGCGCGCGAATTCGTGCAATCGTGAAATCTTTATTCCCGTGTACGAGGGTAAATATGCGAGATGCGCGAATTGTGCGAGAGAGAGAGAGAGAGAGAGAGAGAGAGAGAGAGAGAGAGAGAGAGAATATGCGTAGCAAAATAAAAAGTCAGTTTTAGCGCAAGACTAAAATTTTCCAAAATAATTTAGTGATTAAATATATATTTAGTTAAATTATATTTGATGGTACAAAAAAATTTGTTTTCTGTGAACAGAAATTGTTTGTTTTTTATTTCTAACTTAATTTATTTTCTGTGGAAACGAATTATATTGATTATTTATTATAATATTTACTTACTTAGATAGTAATTTTGAAATAGATGATTATAATTTTTTGGGATAAGTAGCAACAAATAAAAATAAAAAATAAAAAAGGGGATAAGAATACTAAAATATTTTGAGATTTTCACTTCCATTATCTCTTCCTTTTGATATATATAGTTTATTTTTTAATAATTTTTTTATTTTATTGTCTCGAGACTTTTGTAGCTTTTACATCCATTAAATTTGCTCAAGAAATATCCTTCTTGTATCTTTAGCTTCGTACACGGCTACATCTCAAGTTGCTGCATCCTTGCGCACGCGAGCGCGAACGGCGCGTATCCGTGCCGGAGGCTGAATATTTAAACCAACTTGCTAGCGCGCATTGTTTTGCCGGCATCCCCATCTCGGTGGACTACACACGTCGGGAAATAATGATCACACTGGCCGTCGTTTTCTACCCTTCCTCCTTTCTACTTGTCTCCTTTGCCGCCGTCGCGTCGTCCGCGTTCTCCGTGCCCGCGATGCTAAAACATCCGCGACAACAATATTGCACTACCGGCGAGATTGTAAACAGGCGCGCTTCTTTCTTCCGACGACTGTCAGACGAGAGGATGGTGTTTGGAAAGCATTATTCGTGAATTTTCTTCAATGCAATGCACGATTCTACCAGCATCATGGACCAAACGTTCCTTTTTTTAAAGATATTTTTTGTAGATAAATACGATCGTAGAGAGACACATGTAGATCAGAATAATCTTCCTTCTACATAGTTTATCGCTTATTTTTATATCTTTTTATTCATATCTATTTTTCATAAATTTGAGGATGAAGGAGAATGTGTCATATACGCATACGTATATTGATTTGACTTTTTTTCAAAAAAATATCTTTTGCCCCCTTCTATTTTATAATATTCTTAGAATTAATGGTAACGCTATTGAATCGTATCCAGACCTGTTTGGCGCGTTAAACTAGTTTGAATAAACGAAAAGAAACAGACGCACAAGAGAGATGCAAACTGTGAAGCCGACTACATACTACGAAGTAGAAGTTTTAACGTTGGTAGTCGTACCGGCTGGTAGTCGCTTTTTCGTTTTTCTTGTCAATTCTTTCCAAACATTCACTCTTTTCCAAGTTTATCATCATTTCTGTGATCTTTCGTACTGCTAAAGTTACGAAAAACGATTCTTTTGCGTCAAACTTTTGCTGACGGTTTTCTATTCGTTTTAATTTTTTGATTCTCAAATAATACACCTCACTTTTAATAACAAAGTATCTACATATAATTATTGATTTAAATAACAAGAATATAAATATATCAATTATGTACTATATAAACAAATTATTTTTAGATAAATTTAATCTCTATTTTTATGATTTTCGAAAATATCTTAATAACGATATTTAATAAAACATTTTTTTGAAAATAACCAAATATTTGATTTTATCTTTTATAGATATATTATGGAGATGCGGACAGAAAGACCACGAACTGCCGGTCGAATAGCACCAACCGGAAGAGTAACACCAACGGTGCATCAAACTAGTGGAGGTAGAAGAAAAGCTATACCGGTTCCACCTCCGAGAGTGCCGACTCCTATGCCCATCGCGAATAATAATCAACAAAGGTGAATACATTCTAAAATTTTAATTGAATTTATTGTTGCAAGAAGGAATTAATTTCAAAATTTTTTTTCTTTGCAATTTTATATATACGTACACGTATATATAGTTTGTCTCACAGAAATGTCTATGGCGATGATTCAATCTGATCCCCGTAAGTTCGTAAACTTTATGCAACGACGATATATCAGGGTCGTGCTTCTCTAAGTCTGATGCACTTACTAATGCGTGCCTATTCGCTCGACGACACGGCGCACAACTTTGTCGCGTGGTTTAGCGGCTGATTTTACAGCGAGTTTCCAATCGCATCAATTCCTCGCGAGGATAGATGCCATTAAGTGTGTTTCTCGTATCAAAGTACAGCCGTGGATAGTAAAACGGCTTGGGATAGCTACGGCTGATTAAACTTAACCAGGAAGCGCAGGGTCGTAGCTGCCCACTTCGCTGATCTCCTCCAACAATCTGCTTCAGCTAAGCGTTGCTTCGTGCAGAACCGGGGGATTTGCCCGCCACCACTCGCGGATAATACCACCCCCGAAATGTTAAGCCTTTATGGTCGGAGTATTTTTCGGGGCTGGTGTTCGCCAGGCTGGGGATTTTCGAGGGTGGTTTATCGGGGCGCCGCAAACTGCGCGCATAACAGTTGAGCTTGGTAATTGAAGAGCTAAGTAATGAAGATGGAATATACGATATTAAAAGATAATTACGCGCTATAAGAATTTTACATTTTTAAACCAAGAAATATTTAATTAAATTTGCGATAAAAAATTTGAAATTGACTTTCATTTAACGTATTTTTTGATTTGTTATTCTATCTTTATCTGTTTTAGCGTTTTATCTAAGTAAAGTTATTTTAGTCTAATTATAAGATGCTTTCCTTTTGCATTGAATAATGGAAACTAACATTTTAGATAAAAATCATGAGTAATAAACGCTGTCGGAAAAAGTTAGGAAAGAAATTACTGTTGACGTTTGATTATCGGTATCTTGCGAACTCTTTTAACGAGTTGCAGCGCGTAATCAATTACTACACTATCGTATTCTTTTTTCTTTGATTGGAATGGGAAACGTACAGAGACAACAGTTTAATTTGTCTCTAGTACAAATGCATTAATTAAAATATATATTATTGTCTCATTAAAGAATAAGAACAAATATGACATGGTTTTTTAGTGAAATCGATTTATAATCTTAACGCAAATGCACATCATACACACAATGTTTTAGTTTTTTTGGTGATAATTATATGATATCTACAAAATTTTTTCAAGCCATAATTCTGTCGAATGAAGCCTCCTGCTTCAAAGCTTGTCATAATTCATATTCGTAATTACTTGGATAGATATGAATACGACTTGTAGTTGTTAAAAGACCTTAATCTCAAACTTACTAGAAAGAGAAAAGAGAGAAAGAGAGAGAGAGAAAAAAGGGAGAGGAGAGGAGAAAGAGAAAAAATTAGAGAAAAAGAAAATAATGGACTGTCAAAAGGATGAAAACGAATTCAGAGATTAGGAAACTGAAGGTTATCTCGAAAAGTGGTTGTCGCCATTACCGGAGTATTCATAAGTCTTTCAAGGATATATTATAATATATAATTTTGTTGCTATCCTGTTGTTATGCGAAGAAATTTATATTTTATTAGACAGTCAGACTGCAAAATAAGATTTTGTTTTCAAAATTATCTAATACATCACATGTATTAATCACACAATGCAATATGAAAAATGAGTAATATTATTCTGATTCAATTATGATGATTTTAATAGAGGAATAAATTTCATATTGCGCAGTATATTTTTTCAACAATAAAATTAACAGTTCTATTTTTGAATAATTTTATAGTAACTATTATATAATATAATATAACTCTATAATTTTTAAATGATGTATAATAATGTTCTAATCTTTTCTACGATATATACTATAGCATTATTTTTATAATGTGAACCTATTAATTACAAGTGAGTGGCTTCAATCGCAAAAAAATATATGCGTCAGCGTAAGCATCGAGGAAAATTGAACGCGCAGTGGTTAAACGCTGATCATTGAGATTCTACGATTTTCTGGTTCGTGGTATTTTTATGATTTCCATGGCATCCGTTTTCTAATCTTCTCTCTCTTTCTTTCTTGGTACGTACATTTCATTAAATACTTCTTTTTTTTTTTACCGTATTCGTGATCACCCTTCGTAAATATTCGTGCGGCGAAGGTTCTACAGCTATTCGCAATGAATCCTCGTTCCCCGGGGGTGACCGTAGACGCGGACCGAATAAAGGATGGGATGGGGATGCGTCAGGAAGTTTGAAGTATTTTCCTCATAAAGCTTTTGAGGTATTTAAAATATTCGCGACGATGCGGATTTCGCTTCCGGATTTTAATTAATTAACGGCCGGATACATTGATGGACCCGAATGAACTCGTTCAGTCAGACGATGTATGTGGCAGTGGGAGATGATGATGGCGGCGAAAGATGGGTGGAGGAGGTAAAGGTTCATTAGAACCTCGCGCAGCTTGAAATTCTGTCGACCACAATGTAAATAACTCACTTGTGCTTTATATAAAGCGGAGAGAGGACCTTTGTACCAAAGAGAGCCACCCGTATGCGTTCATTAAGCGGTGTTTAGCGTAGTTACACCAGTACATTTCGAACCATACCACCGTGCGCGAAAATACAGATGTACAAGTCCATACTATGCATTACACACACACACACACATATATATATATATATATATATATATATATATGTAAAGAATTGTTGAAATGCATCGAGAGAACTATTTGGCATCGCCCGGAAATGTGAAACCTCGTCATATCCGTTCGTCATATCCGTCTGCGATAATTGCATGGGGGCTGCATGAAAGGAATATTTCACAGCATATTAAGAACTTGTCGAATCAAAAAAGGTATACGAGATTTTTACAAATAATTTGAGCTAAACTAGACTGAAATACGTGGTACTCGAACTTGCGTATTTATTTATTTTTTTCTTTAAAAATAAACATACGTAAAATAGGCGGACGTAAATGTGAGACGTGAACGATGAGTAACTTAATATTTCGCGCTGTAAACTGTAGATATATCTTATGGAAATCTTTTGTCGCTAATGCATAATTACACGAAACGAATAAAGCAAACACGAGACGATACAGATTGTAATTATCGTCGCGAATAGGCCGAATCGCATGGTCGCCTCTGTCGGGGTAGGAAATAATACGAAAGACAATAATTACGGTTTCAAAGAGGAACGATTCTCCAAGATTCGTCTCCTAGGAATATCGTGAGTAACGAACGCCCTGGTGCCACCGCGGCGGAATATACGCCAATTAGCTCGTATTTTTCGTCAAAGAGATCAAACCTCGATTCTGTATTAGTATAGAAGACCAGAGGTTACGGTCGTAAAGAGTCGTTGGTAGAGACAAAGTAGAGGTACCGTTGGAGATAATATCAAAGGATAGTTAAGCCGTAGTATAAAGTGCCGGTGTCAGAGAGCTTTTGCGATTTCTGTAGAAGAAAAACGCATCCTATGCTCCTTTTTGTAAATTTAATCTATCTCGTTGCGCTGTTAATTTATCCTTTTTGCACGTTGTTTTTATACGCTTTTGATTATCTAAAAGAGTTGGTTAAAGAAATTTAAATTCAATGTAAGAAGTGTTATGTATCAGAGAAAAACAAAACATAATTCTCAGTAAGATATTTGGACGGTCTGAATTATTTTAATGATAAATCTATAGTTGATTCTTGTAACAAAATCTTTAAAAAACTATTTGTTGCGATTCTTTTTATAATAAAGTTTCTTAACATTAAATATTTTTATAATTCGAAAAAAAATATATATATAAATTACAATTCCGAGAAAATATAACATTTATTTTAACATAATTAGAATAATAAAATTTTATTTGATTACATCTCATGAATTGATTTCATTTTCATCACATATTGTAAAGATTTAACTTTAATATATACAAATAAAATCACACGCGGTTTACACACACAATAAATATTCATTCTTCATATTTTAACGCTGTGGCAATCAAATCATTGTATAATACACAAAGATTTTTTTAAGGAATTGACACACATTACCTATATTCATGTGAGCTTTGTCATCTCACCCTCGGTTCAATATCCTCTCGCGCGTGATGCTTCCGTATGGATCCAATTTAAGACCGGTTGAAAGATTCGATTGATTTGTCGTGCATGTCGAGAGTTAATTAGCTTGGAGCACAGGCGATGGTAATCTAAAGGTTCTCGGGCTGGCGACCTTTAATCAAGCGATTAATCAAGCGATAGCTTGACACATTATCGACCTCCGTGTGATGACCAAAACCATCTAAAACCTTGCGTTGATCGAGTTTCTTATGATTTAGCTAATTATCTGTTTAACCATCGCCTTTCATAATTACGTGGATGTCACAAACAGCATCTCACTTGTAATGAACTTACGATGAATTATCTTTCTCTTTCTCTGTTCCATATCGTGTGTGCGATCTATACAATTAAATTCACCTACATATTTTTTTATATAAATTGTCTCCCGCTTGCTGTGTATTTTTATCCCATATTGATTTATATGAATGTATCTTCCGAGATATATACAAATCAAACGAGTTACGATAGTAATTTATTATTTACGGTTTTTGATAACGATTTATTTCTTTATGGTCTTTTGATTTGCCTCTTTACGACTGCTGATAGTAACTCGCGGGCTTTGTAGCACTTGATAGCGATTTATATTTCGTCACACACAGACCGTTCCGTTCGCCGCCTTTTTTCATCCCGCATTGATCTGCACCGATGAATTCGTCGGCTGCCGCGTTGGCTTTTGATGGATTGTGCGAGCACGCGCGGATACGCCGCCTCAAATACGTCGAGGTGCTTAACGAGGCAGATTTTCACGGGATCGGTCGACGAATGGGAATATGGATATTTTGCTATGAGAGAAACTCGATGCCGTGCACGTTTCGACCGCGGCGAAATACGCGTACGAAAATGATACAAT